AAAGTATAGGTCTGTTTCAAATAATAGGGTTGTGATCCTAAAGCTAATGTTGGTGACCTATCGAGTGTCACTTTCTTACTTGCTGTGGTTTGTTGGTGTGTATTGACAAAAAGTCATAATATCTAATCAAAAAACCTTAAGTTTATGTCATGTGGTATGTTAAATGCAGCTTTGGTTGAAATTAGATATTTGTAACATCCAACTACAAAGTGTATAGTTTCTTATGAAGTCGATATTGACAAGCTTGAATATAAAATAAAAACCTCTTATTGTTTCTGTTTTCTGAGATATTATATTTAGTGAATCAACCAAGGTGGCCCTGCCCACCTCTTCCATTTTTGGAAATACTTGTTTACGTACACATACTTCAATCTATGATGTGTTTATAACCAATCAAAAGCTCAGAATTTCTCCCACGTGGTTTTCTCAGCCTTTGGGAAGTTTTTGCATGGCTAGTTTTATACTATTCGATACAGTAATGTGAGTGCATGTGCACCTCGTCATTGCAACTTCTGTAATGTTAGTCAGACACGGCTATAAGATCAATAAAATAAAAATAATAAATATATATATGTATAATCTTGTATAAGATTTAAGCTATTTAAAATAAGCATTTGTGGTTTCATGTTATAATTTGTAGTCATTCTAGAACAAAAAAGCATTTATATTTATTTCCTAATGTTTTGTGGTGGTTATGGGGTTGGTCAAACCAACCAAACCCATAGAGATAAAATAGTGAAAATATCAGATAAAATATAAAGTTTTTTTGAAAAATAAAAAAAATTGAAAATTATTTGGAGGTTACAGAGATTTTTGTATGTAAAACTTGACAATTTTCTGATCGACAAAAGTATTTGTTAATCTTAAAATCAAAATTACTTTCCATGTTGAATGGTCAACATTCAAAAATGTAAAATGCACGAGCGGATCATTGAATAAAAAAATCTGATGTTTTGTGTATGAAAGCCTTGAAATGTTTGCAAATAATCTACAAGATTTCATAAAGATATGCATAAATTTAAAAAAATTACAGTATAACAGCTTTATGGTTACTCTGGAGGATACGAGCTGGGTGGAATCCACAAAGCAGAAATAAAAGGTTAAAGGAATGAAATCACAATTGGTGGCCAAATTGGTAGCTACACTTATAGCATTGATAAGAATTTTACAGAAAATATTCATTCATTAGTTAGCTAGGCTACATATTTTGTTTTACCCACCATAATGCCCCAAGTTGTACAAAAAATGTGGCCTGGCTATGAATATTTGTTGTAAAATTCTTATCAATGCTATAAGTGTAGCTACTAGTTTGGCCACTAATTTGATTTCTTAA